AAAAAAAAATTAAAGACCATAGAACTAAAAAAAGTTGGCAGGCAACGAAGGAGACAATTGGGAAAGAATTTGGGAGGCAAGGAGGAGGAAGGCAAGGCCCAGAGAAAAGCCAGCCCTGCCAGTGGGAGGAGAGGGGGAAATTTGAACAGATGGGTTGACAGAGGCCTGTGACATAGGGATAGGGAATGTGAGTGAATTGTGAAGGAAGGTGGCCTATCAGGACCCCATACAAGCAGTAGTGTTAGATCTCACCCATGTGATCTGTTAGCCCCGCCCGAGTAGAGTAACTTAACTTACAAAGCAGCCTAGCCTTAGGATTCCAGAAGAGTCTTGCGAGGAAGATGGTTTGGAAAACAACGTAAGATGGAGGGAGCCCATTATAAGCATGTGAAATGATGAAATACTACACACAGTGCTCAAACAGTGGTGTTACTGGACAGAGCACCTGTTCTGAACTCTGGTTTGGCTGCTCGCCTCTCAAAAATCAATACTTGAGAGACAGGTGATGGTGGGAAAGGAGAGGTTGGCATTACTGAAGAAGCCAGCAGCTTCGGAAGATGGCGGACTAAGGTCCCAAAGATCATCTTCTCGTCCAGGCGAAGCCGGAGGGTTTTAAAGAGGAAAGTGTGGGACACTGGGGTTGGGGGTGGGCTATCTGGAGGAGAAGGTGGTGCCCAGGCATTTAGTCTGCATATGCCGACATAACCTTCAACAGGCTTGCGGGCGCCAGCAGCAGCTATTTTCAAATGTCGTCAGGACTTCTCTTCTGGGCAAGACTGGTCCTTCTCTCCTCCAGGCCAGTGGTCTGCAGATCTCAAGGAAGGTAAGTGAGTCTGGCTTACTCAGACCAACGGAGTGCATAAGCTTAATGCTGGTTAAGCCCTAAGACCTATTGGAGTGGTGTTACAAAGGCAGTTTCCTGCAGTAAATGAAGTAAGATGTGATTATAGCCTCTTGTCTGATACCTATGATCTCTTCTCATTGGCAGTGATGTTTACAGTGTGATGCTTGTTTTCAAACCATTGCAGGGTCCTGAAGTGCCTTCCAAATCATCACCAAGAGATTGAATTTTTAGGTTTTAGACTTCTTCTCTTACTCCTTAGCTGATCCCTGAAATCTTTGTTTCCCCTCAGAGTAATGATTATAGTGCTTCAGGTGAACTGTGACTTTTCTTTTTTAATGATTGGGCATCTCCCAAGCCACAGTCCCTTCTTTTTATTAAAGACAATATCAGACCAATTCTGGTGAAAGCTTCATTTGCACACTAAACTGTTCCTGCACGTTCTGTAGGCAAGATGGCTCAGAAGACTGATAGCCTGGGAGGTCGACCTGCAGCGGTCTGGGGTTAATGGGTCTGTAAATCAATGGCTCTAAGAGGATGTTTTGTGTTCCTTTCCTAGTTGGCCTGCTGCTGTGGGTCCGCTGGCTGCTCCCTCTGCTGTGACTGCTGCCCCAAGATCCGACAGTCCCGGAGCACCCGCTTCATGTATGCGTTGTACTTCATTCTGGTCGTCCTTCTCTGCTGCATCATGATGTCAAAAACCGTAGCTAATGAAATGAAGGAGCATGTAAGTCTGCCTCATCCTCCCTCCCTCCCTCCTTTTCTTTTCTTTTCTTTTCTTTTCTTTTCTTTTCTTTTCTTTTCTTTTCTTTTCTTTTTTCTTTTTCTTTTTCTTTTTCTTTTTCTTTTTCTTTTTCTTTTTCTTTTTCTTTTTCTTTTCTTTTTTTAATGCTTTGGATTTATTTATTTTGACAGAGAGATTTAGAGCATAAGCAGGGGAGGGGCAGAGAGAGAGGGAGAGAGAGAGAGAGAATCCCAAGCAGGCTCCATGCTGTCAGCACAGAGCCCGATGCCAGGCTCAAACCCACAAGCTGTGAGATCATGACCTGAACCGAAATCAAGAGTCGGATGCTTAACCAACTGAGCCACTCAGGCGCCGTGGCCTCTTTTTAACTCTTCTCATTTGATGATGATTGGTGAGGGTGTGTGGGAAAACTTTCCCTGTAAAGGATGGGGCCCAGCCACGCTGGTGTGGGTAGGGGTATACTCATTATCTCCAGACCTTCCTGAAGCCTCTTCAGTGCTTTCCTGCCAAGCAGGGGAACCATTTAAAGTCTTGAACTTTAGCAGTAGAACAGATACAGTCTGTTCTTTGGTGTATTGTGTGTTTGGTCTATGCCTTGTTTATAACTGTTCCTCCTAGATGTACAGTCTTTTCTTGTAGACTTGGTACTTTTCCCTTGTTGTAAGGATGGCTTCCAGTGTCTCAAGTAGCAGCTGTTATAATAAACTCTATTTGGCCTACTTGGGAAGCCTGATAAAGCTTAGAAAATTCCACAGATGATGAGGAGTGGGCAGTAGGGTGATTTTTACTTTGCTGACATGTCATTTGTGGTTCGGGTGTCTCCAGGGGTGAGGAGTGGATTTTTAGACATTTCTTGGGCAATGTATGCAGAAGTAAGCCTGGTTTGTGATGCTGATGAAGCAGGGCGTTTTCCTGGACTTTCCCCATAGAAGGCATTTTTTTTTTTTTTTTATAAACATTTTTTTTTTTTCCGACGTTTATTTATTTTTGGGACAGAGAGAGACAGAGCATGAACGGAGGAGGGGCAGAGAGAGAGGGAGACACAGAATCGGAAACAGGCTCCAGGCTCTGAGCCATCAGCCCAGAGCCCGACGCGGGGCTCGAACTCACAGACCGCGAGATCGTGACCTGGCTGAAGTCGGACGCTTAACCGACTGCGCCACCCAGGCGCCCCTAGAAGGCATTTTAATCAGCCAGATGACAGGGGCACGTGTTGGGGTTTTTGAGGGAGCCCAGTAAATAACATTGCCCCTCTTAGTCTCTAAACAAACAGGCAAAAAAGACCGAAGTGTCAGTAGATAGATGCCAGACATCACCCTCTTTCCCTCATAAAGCTCATATGAGAGAGTATGGCTTGGATCTGCAGAGAAGTGGGCCTCCTAGTACTGAACCCCAAAACAAGTTAGACTTTTCCACTGAGGGAGCCTACCCAGGAGCCAGTCCCCTTAGGCTGGGCCATACTTCCCCTGCAGAGATACAGTTTCCCGATAAGAGTGGCAGGGGCACTCTTTGCCAGGGGCAGCTCTTGTCTAAGGGAAAGGGGGAGAGCAAAGGCTAGCTATCCAAACCCCATTTTCCTGGGGCCCAGCAGAATGAGGAGGGAGAGAAGGCTAGGGCCAGCACTCTGATGGAACCCCATCACCAGGAACAACTCCCGAGCAAGTGTCTCTTTTCCCCAACCTCATGGTGAAGCTACAGGCTATCTTAAATATACTCTCAGTGTAATGCCCCTGATTTCGAATCCGAGAGACCACCAAGGAGCCGATACCGATGGAAACGCACGAGGGTTTATTTGCAAGCTCGAGCTTGGGCCCAAGTATACCTGACACAGCGGAGCAGGGACTTGGACCCCTAGGTTAAGAGGCGTAGCAGTTTTATAGGGGCCAGTGGCCAATGAGATTGTAACACACACAGAAAGTTGCATAGTCATGTCGGTCCACACGCAGGTGGCCAATTGAATTACAATTTACCCTATAGTTTGAACTAGCCTATCACTCTGGTCATAATTGGCGCGCAAGTTTGGCGGGCAAAAGGTGGGGTTTAAGAATTGGCGTGCACGTTTTGCGGGCAAAAGACAGGGTTTACATTCTTTGGCGGTTAGGGGTTC